TCCAACCAGTCCATCCTAAAGGGAATCAGTCCTGGGTGTTCATTGGAAGGACTGATGTTAAAGCTGAAACTCCATCTGATGCGAAGAACTGACTCATTGGAAAAGACCCTGATGCTGGGAAAGATTGAAGGCGGGAGGAGAAGGGGACGACAGAGGATGAGATGGTTGAATGGCATCACCAACTCAATGGACATGAGTTTGGGTGAACTCCAGGAGTTGGTGATGGACAGGGAGGCCTGGCATGCTGTGATTCATGGGGTAGCAAAGAGTTGGACACGACTGAGCAACTGAACTGAACTGAACTATGGGAAGGAAACCAGCAAAGGTCTCTTGGTACTCTGCATAGGAGGTCAGCCACACCTGAGGTTGCTTTTGATTCTGGTGTCCTCTCAGAAGAGGAGAGGAGATCAGTCCTGAGTGTTCATTGGAAGGATTGATGTTGAAGCTGAAACTCCAATACTTTGGCCACCTGATGCAAATAGCTGACTCATTTGACAGGGAGGCCTGCCGTGTTGCAGTCCATGGGGTTTTAAAGAGTCGGACACAACTGAGTGACTGAACTGAACTGAACTGAACATGGTCCTCATAGACCTCACAGTCTATGGGGGGAAACAAAATCATACAAGGACAGTAAATCCCAGTAAAAACTCTCATGGAGATAACAATGGCCACAGGTCAACCCACAGGAGAGTGCCTCCTTGAGGCCATAGTGTTAAGGAAGGTCTGAGTTTGGGGGGGGGGGTAATAAGTGAGCTGAAATTTGAATAGGAGCTCCAGCTCCATGAGCTAGACACTACAACACATGCAAAACATGGAAGTAAGAGATGGCATGGTATGTGTGTGGTGTGGGCAAGACTTTGAATGAAATGACCCAGGGGCAGAGGCTAGTTCTGCTGATGTCAGGCCATCAGCCCTGGTCCCATAGGACAGACTTAAGAGTAAGTCAGCCTGTCCTTGGAGCAGGGTGTCACAGGCATGATGTGATACAGCCAAGAGCCTGGCAAGCACAGGTCATAGCCCCAGTGGAATCCGCTGTTATTAGGAGTAAATGAGATAGTGTACGTCAAGTACCTGGCTCAAAGCAAGCACTCAGTAAATGGAAGCTATTACTGTTATTATTACTGAAGTGCATTGTTAGTGTCATGAGGGAACTGGCAGATGCTGTATGTGGAAGGGGCTCCAGAGAGGATCTGCTAGAGAACCGTTACATCTGAGCTAAGACTTTGCCGGGCTGGTTCTTTTTCTTTTGTGGGAAATGGACTCTGGAGAATCTGATGAAACCTGTGGACCTTCTCCCAAGAAGAAGACACATCTGTTCAGATGATGATTTGTGTATTATTTCAGGGACTTCCCAGACTCCTGGAGGCCTGTCTAGTCATGGAAACTGGTTGGACACAGCTGTTATTTGCCAAGCATGGCTGAGAAAAGAACCCACTCTTATCTCAGCTTATTATTCTAAGTGAAAAACCTCACCTCACATAATTTCTTTTTTTTTAATTTTTTAAAATTAATTTTTGTTGGAGTATAGTTACTTTACTAGAGAAGGGAATGGCAACCCACTCCAGTATTCTTGCCTGGAGCTCCCCAGGGACAGAGGAGTCTGGAGTCCATAGGGTCGCAAAGAGTCAGATACGACTGCCATGACTGAACACACACATAGTTGCTTTACAGTGTATTTCTGCTCTGCACCAAAGTGAATCACTTATATGTATACATTTATTCCTCCTTCCTTGGTGGCTCAGATGGTAAAGAAACTGCCTGCAATGCAGGAGACCCAGGTTCGATCCTTCGGTCAGGAAGATTCCTGGACAAGGAAATGGCTATCCACTCCAGTATTCTTGTCTGGAGAATTACTGTGGACAGAGGAACCTGGCATGCCACAGTCCATGGGGTTGAAAAGAGTTGGACACGACTGAGTGACTCACATTTTAACTTTATACATGTGTTCACTCTTTTTAAGGTTTCCTTCCTATTTAGATCGCCACAGAGCATTGAGTCGAGTTCCCTGTGCTGTATAGCAGGTAAGGTCCTCATTAGTTATTTTACACATGAAGGGAAGTGAAGTCATTCAGTCATGGCTGACTCTTTGCGACCATACGGACTGTAGCCTGCTAGGCTCCTTCGTCCATGAGATTTTCCAGGCAAGAATACTGGAGTGGGTTGCTGTTTCCTTCTCCAAGGGATCTTTCCAACCCAGGGATTGAATCCAGGTCTCCCACATTGCAGGCAGACTCTTTACCGTCTGAGCCACCAGGGACGTATTTTTGTCAGTCTTAATCTCCCAGTTCATTCACCCCTCTACATAATTTCAAATCTAAGAATCATCTGTGTGGTTTTTAAAAAAATAATTAAATTAATTTATTTTTAAAATGAAGGATAATTGCTTTACAGTATTGTGTTGGTTCCTGCCGAACATCAACATGACCCAGCCATAGGATGTATACCTACATCTCCTCCCTCTTAAATGCTGTGTGCTTGGGACTTCCCAAGTGGGGCTTCCCTGGTGGCTCAGAGCTTAAAGTGTCTGCCTGCAATTCGGGAGACCAGGGTTCCATCCCTGGGTCGGGAAGATCCCCTAGATAAGGAAATTGCAACCTACCTCAGTATTCTTGCCTAGAGAATCCCATGGACAGAGGAGCCTTGTACTCTACAGTCCACGGGGTCCCAGAGAGTTGGACATGACTGAGCGACTTCACATTTTAACTTTGGGACTTCCCTGGTGATTCAGTGGTTAAGACTGCCTTCAAGCTGTGGTACATATACACCATGGAATATTACTCAGCCATTAAAAAGAATTCATTTGAATCAGTTCTAATGAGAAAATAAATGGAAAAAAAAAAATGAAAGGAGTAAAACTGTAAAAAAAAAAAAAAAAAGACTGCCTTCAAATGCAAGGAGTACAGATTTGATCCCTGGTTGGGTAACTAGGGTCCCACACGCTGTATAATACAGTTTAAAAAAACACAACTATGAGGCAAAAAATAAAATAAATTAAAATACCTAGTGGCATGCTGCCAGGTGGTGGAGGAGGGAGGCCCGTGAAGGGGCCATTCTAATCGTCCAGGAAGAAAACGGGTCTGGCTTCAGGGACACGCATCCTCTGCAGTCACGTGGGACCCTCCCAGTGCTTATTCTTATGTTCTGCTGTGTCTTCATTCCTAACGAGCCAGAAGGAGCCTTGCGCTTTCATTTGGCACCGGACTCCACAAATATCTTGCCAGTCGTAGGAGAACTTATTATGCGTTTGAGTGCTCACTCTGCGTTGTTCAGTCGCTCAGTCGCGTCCAACTCTTTGCAGCCCCGTGGACTGCAGCATGCCAGGCTTCCCTGTCCTTCACTCTGTAAGCTGCACGAAAGTGGCAGAGCTGCACCTGGACCCCAGGCTGCTTGGGTCCAGAAGCATAGGTCTAGTCTATGTCATTGTGCCTTGTGTGTCCAGAGTGCTAGTGAGACTGGAGAAAAGGTGAAAGAAGAAGAAACATTCATTCTTGGGGCCTTTCCTGGTGGTCTCACAGTTAAGAATCTGCTTTGCAAGGAAGAGGATTGATCCCACAGGCCACTCAAGCAACTAAGCCTGCAGTGCCTCCACTTATACCTGATGCAGCCAAAAATAGATACATTTTTTGAAAAGAGACATTGTTTCTTTTTCCAGAACACTATTCTCCACCTTGGCCTTTCCTTCCAAATCTGGGTATCAGTGCCATGTCCTAAAGGAGACTTTCCTGGTCTCCAAACTTGAATTACAGCCACCTATTCTTTTACTCTTCTCTATCTTTTAAGGCACTTATCAGAATTTGTTATTATGTATTTGTATGTTTTCCGGTTTTGATGACAATCTGTCTCTAGACTATTCTCTCAGTGAATGCAGAGGTTGGTTCATCCCCTTATCCCCCAGTGGAAATCCTGGTACCTAGTAGGTATTCCATAGATATCAATTGGAAGGTAAGTTCACAGAATATAATGACAGGTCAGATGGGATAGAGAAGCCCCCGAGGATGATGCAGAGATTCCCACTTGAGTGATGCTAATCCTCAAAATGACTGTAAGAAGTTAGGAGTGGTGCTGGAATGAGTAAACGGATTGGGGATGTGTTTGAGAGTTTGAGTGCTTTTCAAGGGGTGTCTTGGAGAAGGCAGTCTTCCACTGACAAGTCCTTCTTCACTCCCTCCCCACTGCTGCCTGGGTTAGGGGGACTACAGCCCCCTGGGCAGACCTCTGCCATCAGGCAACTCTGTGCTCATGCCCCTGGGAGCCTGCCTGTTCCCTAGCCTGGGAAGCTCAGTGGGTCCTGGAACAACTCTGCAGGCCTCATTTCTGGAACATAGGGGCCCCAGGGGTGTGGATGCAGTCAGGTCGGGCTCAGTAAATGCCAGTGAGAGGAAAAGAGGGAAGGAAGAACTCTGGAGGGAGGCTGGGATGGAGAGCAGATCTGGGGACTGGAATGGAAGGAGATAGAGGCCAAGGTTGGAGCCTCCGGGCCCTGGAGACAAGGTGGACAGAGGCATGCTCCACACTCTCGGGAGACCCGGCACAGAGCTAAGCGCTTGAGTCACGTAACTGCATTTCATCTTTGCGGCAACACAAGAGCAATCATTATTGCTCTTATTTTGTTAAGAAAACAGAGGCTCAGAGAGGTGACGTGATTTGTCCAAGGTCACACAGCGAGCGAGCTGGGAAGTCTGGGTTTGACCCAAGCCTGCCCTCTGCTCTCTTCATTCCCTGCCTCTTCGGCTCTGCTCTCGGTTTCCCTACCCCTTCTCCCCACCCCTCCGCTTCCTTGGCCGCCCCGCCCCACCTCTCTCTTCCCCTCCTCTCCCCTCCCCTCTCTCTCTCTCCCCTGCCCTCCCTCTCAGCAGCCGCGGCGGCCGAGCCACGTGGTGGGGCCGGGAAACCGCGGCCGCCGAGCGCCCGGGCGGCTGCCCCAGCTGGGCAGTGCTGCTCTGCGCTGCGCCGCGCTCGGTGCCTGCGCTCCGCGCTCCAGGTCGGCGCGCGCGGCCCCCGGAGCCATGGGCAAGTGCAGCGGGCGCTGCACGCTGGTCGCCTTCTGCTGCCTGCAGCTGGTGAGCGCCGCGCGCCCGGGCGGCCGGGCCGGGTAGGGTAGGGTAGGGCGCGGCGGGGGCGGGGTCCCGGGGCGAGCCGTTGGGGTGGGTGAGTCTGGGTGTGGGTCTGGGGCGAGCGCCCGGGTTGGGGGTGGTCTGGAGTCACGGAGCGGACGGGCGGAGCCTGCTCCTGCGGGCCCAGCTGTCTCTTTGTGTGCGCCTCTCGCCCGGCGCTCCCCGGTCCCCGAGTGCGTCCTGTGCGCGAGTCCCCGCCCGCCCCGCGCCTGGGGCTCCGCGCGACTGGCCCGCACTGGACGAGTGGCCTCCTGTTGGGGAGATGCGCTGTGGGACTGTGGCTCTCCGGGGCTTGGGGGGTGTGTCCGAGGAGAGTGTGTGGATCCCTTGAGGTCCCTGCCGTGTGTTTTCCTCTAGATCACTCGTTTGCGTGGGTCTCTGCCTCTGGTCTCCGCCCCACTGAGCGTTTCTCACAAACTCTCTGCTCCTGTGTGTGTCTCTCTCCGCGTTTCTCCTTGGTATGTGTCTAGATCTCTGACCATTCCTGGTCCGTGTTCTTCTGTGTGTGGGGGGATCTTAGATTCCAAGAACCGTTCACTCCTTTGTGCTCTTCCTGCCTGCCTCCACCCTCCTAACTAGGCAGGCCTAAGAGCCCCTCCCTGGAGAGGGTCACAAGGAGCTACTAGGTCCTGGGCCAGCTGACCTACCAGGTGTGGGGCTGTCCTCCCTGCTTCGGCTGTGACCACCGTAGCGACAGGCATTGTCAGTCTTTCCACCAGAGGGGCGGGTTGTGGGGGGGGGGGGGGGGGGGGGGGGGGGGGTGGATGGGGGGAGACAGGGCTGGCAGGGATGGGAGTGGAGATACTTGGGTGCCCAGGGAGGGTGGGAGTATCTGGGGACACTGTACATAATCCCAGCTCAGGGAAATCAGGTTCTTGTCTCAGGGAAGCCAGGGGAGTGAATTTGGGGGCTGAAGGGGACCAGCTCTGCCCCTCAGTACAGACTCTGGCAAGTGAGTTTGGGAAGGTGGTTAAGGAGAGGCCAGGATCTCCTGCCTATGCTAGAGCTGAGGTCTAACCAGTAAAGAGGTCTCATCTGGGTTCCACTTTTGCCTGCATCCATTGCCCTTCCTCCACCACTGGCGTGTACATACAGTAAAGCAGAAGGAAGCTTTGAGTGTGGATATACAGACCCCATTCATCTTTCTTCTCTCCTCTTGGAGACCCCAGCCCCAAACACTCCATCCACAAACCTGCCCTCTTGGACAGTGGCCCAAACAGCTGGGCCCTTAAGATTGGAGCCCTGCTCCCAAATGTGGGCTGCAGGGCAAGTGACATCTTGGTCAGCCTCTCTGTGAATTGCTCATCCTTGAGGTTGTCAGGGGGGCATTAATTAAGATCAGGTAGAATGGAAACTCCAGAAGGGCAGAGATTATCTGTTTTGTTCCTGCTAAATCCCCAGCAGCTGGAACAGTGCCTGGCACTCCATTAATATTTGTAAAGTAAATGAGTGAATCAGTTATTTGGCAACTCCTGGCTCCAGTACAAACACCCTTCTTTATCTCCTTTCAGGAACATAAAATTCCAAAAAGTGCTGAAACTTTCCAAGGAATTTTCTTTCTGTGTTAATTTTAAAAATTTAAACTAGGACTTTTTCTTATTAGAGAAGTAACATACAGGGATATCTTGGTGGTCCATTGGCTAAGACTCCTCACTCCCAATGTAGGGGGCCTGGGTTCAAGCCCTGGTTAGGGAATCTAGATCCCACATGTAGCATCTAAGAGTCTGCTTACTGCAACTTAAGATCCACATGCTGCAAAAATAATAATAATAATAATAATAATAAAAGAGAAAAAGAAAGAAAAGTAACACACATTTTATAAAATGATTAAATCAATAAATAACCAAATGGAGCAGAAGATAAAGATGTTTCCTTCTATGCCCAGTCCCATACCCCAGAGACAAGCACTATTAACAGTTTAACCCATGGTCATTCTCTGTTGTTGATAATAACTGTCCTTAGCTTTGGGGAACAGTTACTAGGTGCTAGGTGCCCTTATAAGCACTTTTCCATGTATTAATTCATTTAATTCTCATAACAATCCTATGAATTTACTGGTCCAGAGTTCTCTAGTTAGGGGCTATGAAGCCAGGCAGCTGACCAGCATCCTCCTTTGCCTTCTTTACTGGAAAATAAGTAGTTCTGGCTGTGATGAGAGGTGCTTACTTCTCTGTAGATAAATGAAGGTGTCAAGGCAGTCTCCCTGCTTCTCTCTTACTTGCCTCTGTAGCTCTCCCCAGCTCAGCTAAACCCACCTTTCCACTTGGAGGGTTCACTAGCATAAGCGGCTCTGGAATCCGACAAGACCTGGGTGGGATTCTGATCCTTCTGAGTCTTAGCTGGATGCCTTTGGGCAGCTTGTGAGCATTCCATGAGATAATCTGAGGATGTGCTCCAAGGAGGGACTTGAAAATTGGTCTCTTGGGTCTGTTGCTCTGTCTGGGCCGATTGCAGAGTGAGTCCCTTCAGCTGTCGCTAATCCCGAGGAGCCTCTGCTGCTTCATGGTCTTGGTAATGTGCTCCTGGATGGTAGAATTCACCAACCTGACCATCCCAGGGAGAAGGGAGCCTGTTTTCTCATCCAATGGAAAGGGGCAGAGAAGGAAGAGGCCATTAAATGTTTCTCAGCTAAAAACTTTTGCAGAGGAACTGTATCATTTTTTTTTCTCATATGGGGTTTGATGATTACAATAAAACTGCCCAGTTCTAAACACTCTTCTGGAGTTGGGTTAGCCTTGCTTTGCGTGAGGGAGTAGGATGTGAGGGTGCTCCAGAGGATGGAAGAAGCAGGTGAGGGCTGAACTGTTCAGGTGGACAAGTACAGGGCACAAGCCTCTGGAGTTTGACAGGACAGACATGGGATTGAGTCCTGGCTTCGTCACTTCCTAGCTATGTGGTGATAAGCAAGTTGCTTGGCCTCTCTGACTCACATTTTGTCATCTCTTAAATGGAGATGATAGAAACAGTCCCCAAGGGGGCTTCCCTGGTTGTCCAGTGGTTAAAAATCTGCCTTGCAATGCAGGGAAAACCTGTTTGATCCTCGGTCCAGGAAGATCCCACGTGCCGCAAGGCAACTAAGCCTGTGCTCTGGAGCCTGTACCTACCGAGCCTACGTGCTGCAACTCCTGAAGCTCCTGCACCCTGGGATCCGTGGAAACTAGAGAAGCCACCACAATGAGAAGCCTGTGCATCTCAGCTAGAGAGTAGCCTCCACCCTCTGCAACTAGAGAAAGCTCGAGCAGCAACAAAGACCCTGCGCAGCCAAAAATAAATAAATAATATTTTAAAAAAAGAAAAGAGTGCCCAATCCTAAGGGTTGTTGTGAGGGTTAAATGCATATAGTTTGCACTGTGCCAGGCGCAGAATAAGCATTCAATAAACTATAAGTTTTTCTGTTGTTATCTTTTTAGAAAAATTTTTAAATGTATTTTTTTCACTGCACCAGGTCTTTGCCGTTGCACTTGGACTTTCTCTAGTTGCGGAGAGCGGGGCTTACTCTCTAGTTGTGGTGTGTGGGTTTCTTATTGCAGTGGCGTCTCTTGTTGCAGAACACAGGCTCTAGAGCACATGGGCTTCAGTAGTTGCAGCCCACAGGCTTAGTTGCTCCGCAGCATGTGGGATCTTCCCGGACCAGGGATCGGACCCGTGTCCCCTGCATCGGCAGGCAGATTCTTAACCACTGGACACCAGGGAAATCCATATTGTTATTATCTTAATGATGTATATCCTGGGATGCTTCCCCGGAATTGTGACCCAGACATACCCAAGGGCCATCCTGCACTCTTCCTTTGTGGGAAGCAGCACGTAATTGGACACGAAGCTAAGAGTCAGGAGGCCTGGATTCATGTCTTCCTCACTGACATCTGGTGAACTTGGGCAAGTCTTTTCCCTACTGCAAGCCTTGGCTTTTCCTCATCTGTAAAATGGGAAGAACCACTGGTCTGTGTCTCTAGGGTCCTGCTAGTTCTGCCCATCTGGCATACTGGGAGGATGTCTGGACTGGCCTGGAGGTTTCCATGTGTCTCAGTCTGGTTCCACTATGTGGGACATCTTGGGTCCCTTGCTTTCTCCTTACCTGGTGTATCATCTTGACATTATTAATGTTATTCCTAATTTTTGTGTGTTTCCCATTCCCCTCCCCTGCCCTTCTTTCCTAGTCCACCTCTTTCCTGAAACCCTGCAGGCTATGCTATTCTTCCAGTGAGGATGAACCAAGGAGATTTACCCAAGGGAATCATCATCAATTTCTTCACCATCATCATTATCACTCCCATTTCTGGACTCCTGTGCTAAGCACTTTATATGCATTACCTCATTTAACCCAGTGAGCTTACATATGTAACGTACTTGGCAGAGTGCCTAGTGTGTTCAACGATCAATAAACGTAAGCTCTTTTACTGCTTTTATCCTTCTTATTGTTACCTTACAAAATGTGGTAGAGGTTTTTATTAGCCCCTTTTTCTGATGAGGAAACCGAGGCTCAGAGAGGTCTAAGCTAGTCAGTGATGGAACCAAGGTTCATGCGCTCTTTTGCCTGAGCAGAGAGCCACCCTCTCTGCTGTGTCACTCTGCTGCTCACGCTTCAGCAGCCTGTGACCTCAGACAGATCTCTTCATGGCGTCAAGCCTCAGTTCCCTTATCTGAAAACTAAAATGGTACTATTTCAGTAGGATCACGCACATGCCGGGCACCGTGAGCCGGTGAGTGGTCAGTAATACATCATTGCCATGGTTGTTCTTGTCCCCGCTCTGGGTGACCTTGGACACATGCATTCACTCCTCTGGGCCGCAGTGTCTTTCTCTGTCCAAGAGAAAGAGTTATCCTTACCCCTCAGAGTTGGAGAAAGGGCTTAGCCAGCTTCCATGTACATAGTAGGTACTCAAAAAAAAAAAAGAAAAAACGGTTTTATTCTTTTCCCTTCTGGAAAGCTCTTTGCTTTCTGCAAG